CCGAGAGCATAAAGTATGCCAGCTGAAATGTCTTCGGGGTTCAACATGCAATCGCTTTGAAATGTGTCTGGTACAATTTCAGTATCCACAAATCCTGGGCTTACGCTCTGTAAAAAAAAAAAAACAATATATTAAATATTTCAATATAGATTTCCACAATTAACTATCTCATTTTATATTTGTACTTACAGTAACTTTAATTTTAGTTTTATAGCCACGAAACTCCTGCCGCAAAACCTCCGTAATCGAAGTGATAGCATATTTGCTTGGTCCATAAATACTGAAATTGGGCACCTCATCCGGCGGACAACTCAACACACCATGTCCAGTTAGGCTGTTTATGAGGAACACATGCCCATCGAAATTACGCGACTTCATTGACTTAAAAGCGCGTTGTGTACAATGAACCACGCCCACAATGTTTGTTTGCAGCACCTGATTGATTTCGCTAAGACTCTGTGTTAGTAAGGCTCCTGGTATCAGCACGCCAGCGTTATTAATTAAAATATCTACACCGCCAAGTGTTTGTTCAATCCAATCGAATGTGTCGTTCACATCATTTTCCTTTGTCACATCACATTTTTGTACATGCAGCCGTGATTGTTGATCCTTGGGCAAAGTGTTGCGTATCGCCTCCAATCTGTCCATGCGACGCGCCAAGGCGACCACAATAACACCATCGCGCACAAGATCTTTTACGACAGCTGTGCCAATGCCCGAACTGGCACCAGTGACTACAGCAATGCGATTATGCCAACGCTCCATTTGAAATGTTTATAAATATGTATATTTAAATTTGCGAGTATGTAAAAAATGTTAAAACAAATCTTTGTTGTTAAGTTTGAGGACGCTTACTCTTACTCTACATATGTAAACACTGAACAGCACGTTTTAGCCGCCACACTATTTATATGATTTACTGATTGGCAAATTTCTTGTTTTTTTTAGCGATTTCATTAATCAGGGCTCATGTTATCTCCTCTGACTATGCTTTTTCTATTGCAGCGCGCCGTGAGTAAGTAAAAACAAAATAATAATATTTTCATATTTTCCTAGCATGCAAATCGGAGACTCATTGTTGACTACACATATAGAAATACGTATACTACTATAGTACACATAAATATTTATACAAATCTACATCTATTAATTTGAATACCACTAATCAAGTGAAAGGTTGTGAGGGAGCATGAGTGACTTTTTGTTCTTTCAAAATAAAACGGCTGAGCGGATTTGAATCAAATTTGGCACACGGATATTTTATAACCTGGACTAGCATATAGGGTGTTTTTTGAAGAGGGTTTCCACCTGTTTTAATAAAAAAATTTCCAATATAATGTCAAACAAACGAGAATTTAAAAGGCTTTATTTTGAAAGCATGTTCGAAAAGGGTTGCCACTCGTTTAAAAATTAAATTCAGCTAAAATTAAAAATTCAACGAAATATTATAATGCGCATGGCAGAGGATAGGGATTTAAGCAAATTTTATTATGAAAATATTTCGAAGAGTGTTGCCACCTGTTTAAAAGTCAAACGCAATTGTAATGAATATATAAGATATTACAATATAAATTTCAAATGAAATACTTGCTTATATATGTAGATATGTTTGTAGGTTTGAGAAATACTTAGCTTGAAATTAATTCAAAATTTCTTTGTAATATATTGAAATATGAGTATCAATTAAAAATAGTTTAAGAAAGACTTATTTCGAAAATATTTTTAAAAAGTGTTGCAACCTGTTTAAAAGTTAGGTTTCATTTTATCAAGAAGTTTAGTGAAATATTACAATGTGTATTACAAATAAAAGAAGTTTAAGAAACCTTATGTTTGAATATATTTAAAACGTGGGTGCGTTGCCAGCTGTTTGAAAGTCAAATGTAATTTAACCAAAAAGTTCGAGGTGCTTAATTACTGTCACGCAAAACAGGCCTAAAATGCATTAATTCAAATTAATTTTGAAGTGGGTTGCCACCTGGCAACCTGGCAGAAGAGGTCATCATAGAAAAAATAAATAAAATTATTTAAAAGAATATTTACAATCGGAATATCCTTTGCCATTTACAGAAAATTATTTTGATAGCATCTTATTATAGATGCCCAACTTTCCCAAATTGATATTGATATGTAATAAAAAAAAGGTAGATCACAGAATTATAGCATATCGTCGTCTGAGTTGAAGATCGCCCTATCTCGGCTGCCGGTTCGAAAACGCCCTAACTCAGCAAATGGTTGGAGAATGCTCTATTTCAGAATTTGGTTGAAAATGCCCTATCCCCGAATTTTGTTCAAAAATTACCTACCGCAGAATTTGGTTCAAAAATGTCCTATCTAAACTGCCGGTTAGAAAACTCCATATCTCAATATAAATTGAAGATATCAGCAACCGAGTTAGGTCATTTTTCAAGCGTTTGCTAAGATACGATGTTTTCGAACCGGCAGCTGTGAATGGAAGATCTTCGATTTAGCCGTTTATAAGCTGATGATATATGCATATATCTTCACACTTACTCGACTGGAAGCGAAACGTTGAAGACCGCCCACTACGCCTGCAAGACTACTATAGATAAAAACTGGAGAATAAAACTACATATCCTTCACTGAATTTACACAGCTGTGGTCTGAGCCCTATCATCGTCTACTGGCCCGCGCTAACCGAAACTTTGATCAGAACCAAAATAAAATCAGTCCTGCGAACGGAGTGCACGCTTGCCACGGCAGCCCTGCCTTTGATTCCTACCAAAGCTCTGGATGCGTTTTAAATCGGTGCTATCCAGCCATAGAGCGACCTCAGATTAGGTCATGCCATGCTTCTTGAAACTCTTCCGAGTAATTGACGCTACACTCTTTCCATTCAGCAAATTCTCCAGAATAATCCCAGAGGCAAACGAATAGAAAGATGTCACAGTCGTATACTGAGGGTCGAAGGATCTACACAGATGGTTATAAACTAAACGACAGCGCAGGTAGCAGGCAGCTCTCACTAAACCACAGTGGTCATTTACGTGGCCACTGTGGCGTTTTTAAGGCAAAACTAACCGCATTAAAGGAGTCCGCTCAACTCTTTCAGAAAGCCCTTCACGATCTATTCATGCAACTAGGCTGCTATCAAATTTTTTAAATGTGGCAAAACAACGTCCAAGTTAGCTCGAATCGCTACTTAACTGTTGCATGGGTCACTGGACACAGGGCGGGTTCCTGTTAACTGCATGGCCGACGAGCTGGCAAGAAAAAGTATAGAAATATCCGTGGTGAATTCTGCCTAGGAGGTGGGCATGCCTCTAACCTCCGGCAAACGCAATTTGAAAATTTGCTTCATGGAGGAAGGCCGCGGAACCCCCCTGTCTGACTACAGGTCACTTCTGTCCAAAATTCGACCAAAAGCAATACTAAGCTCTTAATCGGCTTGACCGCTTCTCTCTAATCCACGGCATTAAGTTGGGATATCCAGCAAAATATCTTTGCCGCTGCTGCGGAGACGAGGAAGAAATTGAAAGTATTGCCATTGTCCCGCCAGGCGCGCAGTCATTTCTTTAACAAATATTTTAAGAATGTTTAGCCGAATTGAATTTAATGAATGTTCTCGATTTTCTGCGCTTTATTAAGGGCACTTTGTGGTTAAATTTCTAAGAAAATGAAAGAAATTTGGATAATTTTCGCCAGTGGTACCGCGAAATTACTGAGAAAAGCCAGCATAAGTAAGGTATTCGTGCTTTTCTTGCTCAGTACCAGCTACTCTAACTTTACCTTCTAAAAACAATATTTATTTTATACATACTTATATATGTATGTACTCATATATTTCCTGCACCCACGATTGCCAATTTATTATGCTTCGATTTCTCCAAATTTCAGAATTTATCATCAGGTTTTTTTTTTGCTAATTATTTTGCTTGACATCAATTTTGCACCTTACCACCTTGGTCATAAGTTTAGTCATGAATATTTTCGCTGGTAATTGAGCTCTCTGCGGTGGTGGTAATGTCTGCGAAGCGCAGGAAGAAGAAGAAGCGAAAAATGTGATAAAATGGTGCCATCAAGTTTGCCCCTTAATCGATATTCGATTTAACGCTTGCTTAATCGACTTGATTGCAATTTATATCTATCTGCATATCTATCTGTCTATCAGCGTACCGATAAATACGTTTACTTATTTAAGTATGTATGTATGTATAGCGTTAATGTATGCGTAAACTTTTTCGCGGTTGGCCTGCTTATGCTGGTGGCATACTAGCACGTGCCAGGTATACATACTATGTATGTTCACACTCACATACATTCAGCATAGCAATAGAAATGGTCCAATTAGTTTGACCTTCAATGGCAGTGAACTGGTTTCCTTCGTCCAATCAGCCGTATTTCCATGTGGCTGGCTTATCACAACCAACAAAACGCGTGCGCCAAATTTACAACTTCGATAAATAAATTTCTCCAATGTTGCACGTTCGCCAATGACTTTACGCTCACTTGCCACTACTGGCGTGAGCATAGTTGTGTTGTGGTAGCGCTGCTAGTGTTGTGGCTCTTGCAAGCAGGCCAGTCACGCACGGCTTCACCCCGACTGGTATCCGTTTATGTGCCACGCTTCCGCTTCCGTATCAGAGCGCGAAGTGTCGGACTGCCTGATCGCTTGGCTGCTTAATGGCGCTGCTTTTCACTTACAATAAGATGGTGCTGGCTCTGAGTCGTGTTTCTTGTATACGTACCTAAATATACGTTTTATCTTCACATAATTTTCCTTTGTTTTATATTCACCTTGTTGCGATTGCCTGCTGACATTGGCTTGTCTCACTTTGGCATTCAACCAGCATCCATTAGCGGCAGAAGATATCTATTTTATTTTCGACACTTTTGTTTCCAATATTCTTTCTGAGTACTGGTCTTTTTTTTGTCGGAACCAAGCAGAAAAGAGCACTCAGATTACATGCCGTCCATTGCACACGTACAAATAAATATGTGCATACATATATTGTATTGCATTTTTCACAATACTATTGTAGTATTTGCCTGCGCTGGTAAATGCTGGCGGAAATTTATTTTTCCTCGCCGGTATTTTGGTATTCTCCCACAACAGATACCTCGCACGCAGAATGTTTGAGAATATTTCTTGCCCGACATGAAAAAGCGAATCTTTTATTCTTTTTCGTGATAACAGAAACTTAGTAGGCAATAAAAATAGTTTTTCTTTGACATGTTAAGGTATCATAAGGAACAAATAGTATGTATGTACACTACTTTCTAAAAAAATCTCTCACCGGGGGCGATAGTCAGATCCCTTGGGACAATACACCACATAATCAGTGACAGAATTGTTGCAGCGGAGTGGAATAGTGCCACCATCCAGCGCAGGCTAAACAGGGGCACGCCCCAGGGTGGTTTTCTCTTACCCCTTCTCTGGTAATAGGTAAGAGATATGGCGTTTCTGGCTCTATGAAATCATAGTCAAGTCATTTATGAAGTCTTACAGCCGCACTCAGAAACGTTCCTTAAATTAGCTCTAACGGGCACATAACTAATCATCGTTAAATCTGTTAATTAATGTTTCCTCTCAGAGTTAAAAATTATGAAATAAAAAATTTAAGTCTGGCCCCAGTTGCGGCCCTTCATTTTTGTGGCATCACTCACCTTTTTCGTTCAGTTTGAAATAAAATATAAAAATAAGTATTTATATCATTTTGCGCGCGCTGGCTCAACACACGCAATGGCTAAGTGAGGAGAGCACTGGCGTGCCATTCGAGAGATCCGTGTTCGGGTCCTAGGGCAGG